CCAATCAACATATAATATAAAAAAATATTAATATTTGTAAATATTTATTTAATGTAAAAATATTAAATAAATATTAAAAAAATATTTTTCAAATATTGTGTGATTGAGAAGTACTTAATTTTGAAAAACTACAGAATATATACGTATAAGATACTAAAAGCAAATTAAAAACTTATATTTCGTTTTTTAATTTAAAAAAAATTATTTTGTCTACATACTATTATTAAAATATTTAAATATTCTAAAAATATATTAAGAAATACAGTATATATTAGTATGCATTCTACTTGACTACATTTGTGTTGCTTATGGAATCATTTTAATTTTATTGTTTATCAAATATTTAACAAAGAAATTATGTTTGCAAGCGTTGTAAATGCAATGCCAAGTACACTCAAAATATAAAAAATAATATATGAATAAAAGAAGGAGTTGAGTTAAATAAAATAAATTGCGCATGCGTTTGATCTCGGTAAGTTGTTTGTTCTAGATAAGTTGTTACCAATCAGCGTTCAACCATGTTCAGCAGAAGTCAGTGTTTAATACATACTTTGCTTACTTGTCAATAGGATTATATTTCTAGATTTAAAAGAATAATTTTATCTTATTATTAGTGAAGAAAATTTTCAACAGTTGCAAAATAAATATTTTGTTAACACGGACAATGACTGTTTTTAATGTATGACTAGTTTCTTGAATGTGTTTATCATTTATACATTAGACGAATAACATTGAACAATACAACGAAAAGATAAGAATTTCCAATGAAAACAACAATGATTTAAATTTAGTTTAAATAGAATAATCTTAGTTAGTATAACTATACGAAAAGATAACGTGTCTTTTAAATGCTGCTGAAGTATTAAATAAATTTCAAATAAATCGTTGTAATCAACATTATATTTATAATAAAGGTACGTAAATTGCAACGTGAGTATACAATAATTTGAACTTTAATTTTCATTATTTATAAATACAATGTCTATATTTCCGTTAGTTTGGAAGAGATGGCTTGCAACCAAGTAATACACACACATTGTTTTTTCTTAATTATAAAAATTTTTATTTGATTTCCTTAATTTAAATGAATTAGAACTTTTATTAGAAATTTTAATATTGCAGTTTTTTTATAATTAATGTTATAATTTATAATTGTAACCAAATTATACACAACTTTATATATACATTAGATACGAAATTATGAGTTTTATTTAGCATTTTATAAAACATTACATGCACTTTTAACATAAAATATATAGGCTAATAGTCCCGTAATATTATAATAACCTTTTTCCTGAAAGAGACAAGTAAGATAGATTTAAGATTTTAGTCAATTCAAATCGTTATAATGTTTTAATAATATTAAATTTCTATTAAGAAAATTCGTTAATTTCGTCTTTTAATTTCGTTATCAATACTTTAAGCTTCAGTGAAGAGACATAACAAACTCACTATTAAAAAGTAACAAAGTAAAGTAAAATTAAATTTTTTTGTATTTAAAAAAATGGCCATATCACACCTGAGATTATCCTATAAAAAACCACAGTAGCAATCTATATCGGCAATAATATTAATATATATATAATAATAATTAATTGTCACAAAAATTATAATCGCTGTACAAAAAATAAGAGCTAATAAGAAGTAATGTAAAAAAGTTCTAAAAAGAAATGAAACTTTAGTTAGTTTTTTTTATATCTTTCATCTTTTTCCAAAAAAACCAAGAGACATGTATTTCATACAAAAATATGATAATAAAACTAATAATAAAATAATAGCAACAAATAAAAGATATTTTTATATTAATTCGACTGTATACTATATACATCATTACAATATTGTAAACAAAACTAAAAAATTTCTTCTTAAAATTTCTTTTAAAATTTCTTTTATTTATTTGTTTAATTTATTATTTATTATGTTATTTCTAATATATTAAAAAGCTATATAGTATATTAAAAAGATTTATAATATATAAAAGTAATAATAATGTATAAGAATTCAATACTCAATATGGATCTAAAATCGTTATCTGATTTTTTATTCATATACAGAAAATTTTTATCCATAAATTTATAAATAAAAACATTTAAAATTTGTATTGAGTATATATTATTGAGTATGTATTATTTATATATGAGCATAACTTCAGAAACGAATTCAGAACACAAAGATAATACAAAAAATCTGTTCCATTATTACTCAAAAAAGTGATCTTGCAGTTATAATGAAAATTATCTACGAACGAAAAATAGCTAAAATAGATAAATTTCTAGTAAGTACTAAATACTACGATATTGGATATGCATCTAATCATATATATGGCAGAGATAGAATTTAGATTTATGCTATAAATTCTATGCGTATACATAATTTTTTATTAAATTTTCTATTAAAAAATAACTATAATCTAGCTGATGCAACAAAATTTTTTTCATGATAGCTCTCTTGCTTTCAATAATATTTTTTCCAATAATAAACTTTTACGGGTTTATCTTCAAAAATTATCTTTAAAAACCACAGAAGATCTGCGGGTTATCGTTGTGTTTTTGCTTTTTATCAGTTATCGATGTTTTTTTGTGACCTTAGCTATTTATTTCTTCAGGGAAAAGAGGCATTGATACGTCTTGCTTCAGAATTGTAGCATTTTCGTGTTTCATTAATATTTATTAAAAACTGAATAAATCTAATTTTATTCAGATATTTAGATTATTTTAAGTTGAAAAGCTTACTATTCAAAAAACACAGAAATGTGTTGTACTAGCTTTTGTAATGAAAATTAATTTTGTAATGAAAATTAATAAAACACGAAAACATTACAGTCATTTTCTGTAACTCGGATAAAGATTGGATGATAAAAATGTATATATAAACTTTTTGTGTTATTTTTGTAATCTTATTTTACTCTTAAATCATGGTGAAATTAGACAAGGTTTTATTGTCAAGATTTTATTGCCTGGTTATATATCATAATATGGCGGCACAATCAAAAATCATCTGAATTTAGCGCGACTTTCATTTTTCTAAGATATGAAATATGTCAAATATATGTTTTAATATGATATGTCAAATATATAAAAACTCGACAAAATAAAATCGAATCATCAAATGTTGCATTCATGTCAGTTGTATTTAAAGATGAAATGCGTGGACGCCATTATTTTGCGCATCTTCAAGAATACAATACTTTGTCTAATTCCATGGTCTTAAATTAGTTCTGAAATAACATTCACTTGTTATAAAACATTATGTATAGTATTTATGTAAAACATTTATGTAAAGTTATAATATATACATATATACATATTTCTTGGTATAATTACACATCAAATTACATTAATAGAAACTTACAAAATAAATAAAAAAATAACAGTGTACATGTATATAATGCAAATAATGTATAAATTTATAAGAATTTAATTTTATTTTTAACACATTTGGATGTTACAGATATTTCCAGTATTTTTGAAATATATTCTTGTTCTTAATGATGATGACCATTAATAAAAATGTAATAAATCAGTCTTATAATTCATTAAAATATATTGCAAGTAACAGATCCCAAAGAGAAAAAGCATTTGCTATAACTGATGAATTTAATGAATATCTAAAAAATATATCTGGCAAATGCATTGACATAGGATGTGGACCTGGAGATGTAACAAAAGATATAATCTTACCGGCTCTTGATCCAAATGCAATAATAATTGGTAAAAACAATAATACAAAATATATAGCACAACATATTAACTTTATAACATATTAACAATATAAATTACTTATTACTTAAAAATTATATATTGTAGAATTCATTTAATAATTTTTTATCTATAGGTACAGATATATCAGAAAATATGATTGAGTTTGCAAAGAAAACATACATTAAGGAGAAACGACTCGAATTTGACGTTTTAGATATACAAACTAAAAATTTGCCTACAAAATATGTGTCTGAATTTGATCTTGTACTTTCATTCCATGCTTTGCATTGGTGCAATGATATCAAGTAAGAAAGATTTTTTAATAAAAACAATTCCTTTTATAAAAATTTTTATAAAATAACATTTATGCTTGACATTAATAATAATATTAGGTGTGAGAAAAAGTTCGTGGCGTTTTTTTAATGCCATCTAATGGGAAAAACGCCACGAACTTTTTCCCATACATATTTTAAATATTATATATAATAAATGTATATTTTATAATTCTTTTTAATTTTATATTATAAAATAAAATAATGACATATTTAAAAATTAATATTTTTGTATTTATTTAGTATGTTAGGCAAATATTATATTAGTAAGTAGAATTATATTAATAACTTTGTACAATTTGTAAATATAAATATATATTAGACAAAAACATACATTTGCGGCTTTGAGGACATTTTTTTTTCAAAAAAACTACATGGTTTAACACGTTACCTGCTTATCTTGATATATTATATTAAATGCTTAACTTTCGTGATTTAACATCGAGTGTTCTTTGCTTCTTAATAAAGATTTAATCAAAATCCTAATAAAAATTTAATCAAACATTGACATTTGAGTTTTGATTATATCAAGATACAGAATTATTTTGCAAATACATAGTTTTATTAAATACACATTGTACGTTTTATATTTAATTGTAAAAATGATTCTGCAAATACAAACATACGTTACGAAATATTGATTAAAATACGATATAGAATAAATTTGACATTTTTAGATGGCTATTCGATCTTACGCTCTTACTAAATCTTATATCGAAAAGTAGAAATAATGTCCATTATTGGAATAATATTAATAATCAGTTTCATATTTGATGCTGATAAATAAAATATCTAATAAAATTTTTATTTAATACAAGAAATTTAATACATAATATCCAGTTAATGATAATTTCATTAAAATAATTAATGTTAAACCTACAATAATCTACTTAAGCTATTAAGTATAAATGTACATTTTTCAGAAATTCATTTTATTTTTCTTTTCTCGTTTATTGAATAGACAAGCGTTTGAAAATATCTACCGTATGCTTCGACCCAATGGAATTATGCTTGTACTTTTTGTAACTTTTCATAATATATTTAATGTTCTTGAAAACTTGATACATGATGTCCGTTTTGCACCATACATAAAAGTAAATATTGTTATTTAGTATGTAGATTATTATTTTATTACGTTTAAAAACATATTATTAATTTTTTGAGATTTTCACGATAAGATTTTTGAAGAAAATATCAGAAGATTTGCGAGTTATCGTTGTAATATATCATATCTTTATTCATTTGTCAATGTTTTGTGAATCTTGCTGTTCACTTCGGAGCAAGAAACATACTGTATCACTGATAAAGTGAACATGATTCATGAAATGACATTAGCAATGAACAAAGATATGACATATTATTAATTATTTTCTATCGTTTACATTATTTATAAAATATTCTATTTATACAGGATGTAAACAAGTATACTTGGCCACTTCGAAATTCAATCAATCCTCGCAAACAATTAAAAGAACTGCTTCAAACACTCGGATTCACTGTCATTCATTGCAGCCATCGGGATACATTTCATCAAGATTCAAATACGGATAGATTTTTGTGTAAATTTTTTTAAAAAGATATAAAAATTAATTTTTTTATATTTAACTATATAATTATTAATTATTAATTACTGTACATCTTAAACTTTTATTAATTCATTTATTTAGTTCTATTTAATTAATTAATTAAATTTAATTCTAACATTAAATTAATTTATGTCATTGATTAATTAATTATTATTATTTTCACAGCTTCTATTATGGCATTCCTCGACTTTATTGATCACATGCCACGTGATCACAAGGAAGAATTCAAAAAAGAATTCATTCATAAATTTGCAGAAACACAAATTATTTATAAACAAAAAAATAATCAGAAAATAGCATTAGACACATATCGTATATTAATAGCTTTTGCGCAAAAACATATGACATAATACATACATGTGTGCGTGTGCGTGGTTTATGTGTGTGTATATATAAAGATTGAAACATTTTTAAAAACCTTTCGCAATAATCAGTCCTGTATATCAGGATATCATAATATTCTTTCTTTAATACTTAGCATCTTAACTATTTCTCACTTTAATTTAAACTAGCACTTTTTATATGTGTTGGTTATATACATATGTAGCTTTTAGTATAAAAGAACATAAATAGTCAGCGAATGTATTTTGTTCAACTGTTATACAAGAATATAACTCTTTAAAAGATATGAAATTTCGAATAAAAATTATTTTAGATAGGCTCTAATAAGGATCTAATGAACATGTTTCTAATGCTCGATTAAAGATTTATCGGATAGTCCCTATTATATCCCTATCGTAAATATAATGTCGAAAATTAAATTTGATTATATTTTCCTCAAGATTTCATGATCGATCCTTGTTGCATCATACATTGTCTACAAGAGTGCTGATAGGACATCAGTAAACCAGTATATCGATAAAGTTTAATTTATATTAATTTAATCAAATAAAGAAAAAAGACAAGCATTGTAGCACGGCATGATATCAAAAAATCCGTTATACATCTTTAATATTGATTACATATGCGATATTACGTGTGCATTGTATAATATAATAATATAATATAATAACATAATCAATTGTTTTAATATAAAAATTATAAAAGTTATAAAAATTGTTTTTTTGTACAGTTTAATTAATTTTTTTAATAAGTTTAATTAGTTTTTTTAGTTTAATAAGTTTTTTGTCCAATATTATTAAGGCTAAGTTTAGATTCTCATTCGAGTAATATTCAGGCACTATTTTATCTAAGATTGGCAAGTAACGCGTTACTTGTAACGCTATTACTTTGCTGGTCGTCGTTACCTTGTTATAATAACAATTTAATTGACATTTCGAATTTTTTATGATAATAATGGTAACATCAGAGTTAGAAAAGTCAATCGTTACTTATAACGGGTTAAAAAAGTCATTCGTTACTACAAAAAATAATTCCTAATTTAGAACGCGTTACTTTTTATTCATTACTTGTAACGAGTAACATTACGCGTTACTCCTTACTTATTACTTATTTCAATAAATAACGCGTAATGGTAACAAGTGACTTGATTTTTCAAAGTGACTTTTCTAACTTTAGCATAACCTTAACGTTTAATTTTTAATAATTAGTGTTATCGTTATAAAAAAATGCAACATCGTCATCAAATCGTTTATAAAAAGTAATGGCAGAATAACTGAAAAGTAATGTTTGCCAACTCTGGTTTATCCTTGTTATTCATCAAATGTTAAACAAAAATAAAATGATATCTAGGAAGCATTTGGATTAAAATCTGAACAGGTCTTAAACAAATATACGACGTTTTGAAATGATGGAAAATAGGAGATTATACATTTTATAATCTCTAAAGATAGAGGAGATGATGATATTACGGCCTCTATTTACATTTTATAACATAACTTTGTTAATATTTTAGAATCTTAGAAACATTTCGAAATATTTAAACTAAAAATATTAATACTAAAAGTAAAAATGAGTTATAATAAGTGCTGGCTATTGAATATTGACATAGTAGCGTCATATTGTAATGGCGAAATACTGAACAAATAATTCCAAAATTGTAATTATTATAGAGTTCGTTATACAGCGTATTTGGAAAATAATAATAAATCTTTCGCATAGGTGCAGAATGAACTAAACTGAGAAGAAAAGTTCTCTATCATTTTACAATTTTCGCAATAGTTAACAAAATATTAATTGCTAAAAATTGGTCTTCAATAATTTTTTACTCAAACACTACCAACTTTAAAGAAAAACTGCAATAGACAAAAATTGTTTATTTTCTTCTCATAGAGTTCTAACATTTTTTTAGGATTTTATAGATAATATGTGAGTAAAAAATTATTGTACAATTATATTGTATTAATTGTGTATTGTGTATTGTGTGAGAAAGAACTCCTTAACCAGCTTAATATTCAAATTGTACAATTAACTCAAAACCAAGAATCCATGATTTCAATTTATTGTTGTATGCGCTGAGGATGGCTTAAATATATGTTAATATTATATTAAATATATAACGTTTGTATGAATTGTCAACTAAAAAATTATGTATAAAATAATTACTTTTATGTAATAATATATGTTAATAGATACGATATAGTTAAATACGATATAGTTAAATATTGTACTCTCATTTTGCCTCATTTTACTTCATAATTAATTTTAACAAATCTGAGAGCCAAATCTAAGAATCAAATAATAAATTAAAATAATTAAATATAATTAATAATTAAATATTTGTTTTAATATTCGTATTTGTATTTCACATTACGATCTTAATAAATCATTCATTTTTTGCAAATAATGTAAATTTTTATAAAGATTTTATTTTATTTTTCTAACACATTCGAATATTTCCAGTATTCTGAAATAATTAATTTTTGTTCTTAACGATGACAATTAATAATGACACAATAAAACATTTTTACAATTCATTGAAGTAGGTTTCAAATAACAAATTGTAAAGAGAAAAATCATTTGCTATAAGTGATGAATTTAATGTCTTAATCTAAAAACATATCTGGAAAATGCATTGATATAGAATGTGGATATAACAAAAGATATAATTTGGCCGGCTCTTGATCCAAATAATAAAAGGTAAAAGAAACAATAATCAATATAATAATCAATACAAAATGTATATAGCAACATATTAATATAAATTGCTTATTGTTACTTAAAAATTATATATTGTAAAGTTCATTTAATAATTTTATATCTAAAGATATAGAGATATATCGGACAAAATAATTGATTATGCAAAGAAAAAATATACTACAGAGAAACAACTCGAATTTGATGTTTTAGATATACAAACTGAAAATTTGCCTACAAAATACATATCCGAATTTGATTTCATATTTTCATTCCACATTTTGTATTAGTGCAATGATATCAAGTGAGAAAGATTTTTATTTTTTAATAAAAATAATTTCATTTTTTTCTTGATGTATTCTTTCTTTATAAATGTACTATAATAATGGAATTAATTATCGATGGCATAATTAATAATCGATGGCTATTTGTACAAAATAATATCACTTTTCCCAAAAATGAGTTTATAAATGCGCATTTATAAAAATAATATTTAATTTAACCTTTTCAATGTGATATAAGTTACAATCAAACGTGAAATTTTTATGAAACTTTCTTTATCTCCAATAGTATATACCTCTAGATCTAGAAATTTGTACGTTTAATATGTCATTTATTCTTTTTATAGGTACGCTAGATTGTATAGCAATAATAACGCAAAAAATAACATTCTATATTGAATCATATTTTTAACATATATCTCATCTTAGATTAAATTTCATGCTAAAAGTGAGAGAAAATAATTTGAATTTTGAAGACGTCATTATAATAAAAGAGATGTATTTGATTGACAATTAGTTTCACAAACCCATTTATTTAGAATGTTATTTAAACTATTTATTTCTTAACTTCATTGTTGACACGAAAAGATTTTGTTTATCATATCAAAAGTTATATCAAGATGTGCAGATAATACGAAATAGAATTCAGAAATTGAGAATGTGGAATATAATTCATCATTTAAATTATATGGTAAATATTAATTATTGTATTTTAAAGCTAAAGAACTAGGGTATATTTTTTTAATAAAAGCTTTTATTAATTGATAAATAATTATTTGTTTTATTTAACTTTTTCCCTAGATTTTCGCAGTTATGGCACTTTCCTCCTTATGTATAATATTTTGCCGAAAATAAATAAATTTATTATGCTATACGACTTTTTATATCATAAAGATACGATTTAATTGGTCTCATCAATTGTATTTATCAGTTTCGGAAAATGTATTTTTTCTTAAATTAAAAAATGCAATTATAAAAGTTTATACATAAAGTTTATACAAAAGTGACGAATTGAAAAGTATTTAATATATGTAATAATAATATGAGCGTATATACATTATAAAATTTAGTATACAGATTTATTTTCTATATTTATGGTTACTTTTAACAACTGTAGTACTACAGTTAAAGTCGTTAAGAGTTATAGAATAAGCCTTTTAATTCCAAATAAATTATTAAAACTTTTTATTAAAACTATCAATATATTTCAATCGATATTATTTTTATACCCATATCGAAAAAACAATAATTTAAGAAATTGAATGTTTCCAGAAAATAATAAAACGGTGCATCAATAATTATTATAAAAATATATTATATAAAAATATTTAAATGTGATATTTAAATATTTACATAAAGATGCAATAAGCAAAATCAGGTCAGCAATCTCAGATGTTTTGCTTTCAACGATGAATGTGGGTTAGTGAAACTTTCAAACCGTTACTTGCATCGCGTGATTCTTCTTAAATTAAAATACAATATTTAATAAAAAGAAAAATAATAACATCTATAAACAACTTCAAAATAGTTTAAATAATATTTATTAAATAATAACTATAAGGTAGTCTAAAAAATAAATCAAATATAAGTATAAATATAAATAATAATCTTTTAACATTTATATTAGTTTTAATAACAGTATTAAGATATAATTACATGACCAATAAATTTTATCTAAAAAATTTTAAGTCATTATATTTTATTTATATACTATAAGCTTTTAAATAAAATATACTCTATCTTTGATATATTTTGATCTCAATAAAAAATATTCCTTATTTCCTGTGTAAGATTAGATAACTAGTTAGATAATCCAAATTTATAAATTTTCATTATTGAAAAAAAACATTATTGTTGATATCCAAACAGCACAAAATTCTTTTTTAGCAAAAATATAAATATATTTCGAAATTAAAACATTTATAAAAGAATATTTACATATTTTTTAACAAATACAAATATTAATCTCAAAAAATAAAAACAAAGAAATTCAAAACTACTCAATACACATTAAGCAGAGTAAATAATTGTTCCACTTCAATAATATAATCTGCCCTTCTTTTCGCGCTAACTTTTATTAGCCTTATATTTCAGTCTTTATATATATTTTAAAAATTGAAAATCTATGTAATTTTATTTTAAATAATTAATCTACGCTGGCTACAAGATCATGGATCAAATACTAGTTCCTTTATCGTTCTTTAATTTCATTACTGTAACATTTCATTACTGTAACAATCACATTATTGAATTTTTTATAAAGCTTTAGATTGTTGAGGAAGACTCCAATATTGAAACATTAAAAATTGGAATAAAGATGACATTATACATTAAACAGAGTAGATAGTTATTTCACTTCAATAATGTGGGCCCCTTCCACCCTGATTCTCATTAGTTTGAGCTTCTTTGTGTTTGTATTTTTTAAAGATTAAGAGTCCGTAATTTGTTACTATTTATTCTTAATTTTGAAATATTTGAATCAAATGTTCTGAGTGCATATACAATAAATATTCTATTTAGTGATTCATATTTGTAATAAAAAATTTATAGAATATTCCTCAAACAAAACATTTATACAATGTTTCTCGAAATATTCATAGAATTAATGAGAATTGCGTATGGAATAGTCTTATTTATGGATAAGATTATGTTTATACATATAAAAACATAAAATATATACTATAAAACATTATATAAAATATTCTATACACATTTATAGAATATTTATATAATATGATACAAATGTACTATGTGAACATGATCTTTAACGGTGTTTTAATACATAAAAAATATGAATCCATAAAAAATATGAATAGTCTTAATAAATGTTTGTACAACATTCACAGAATGTTTTTCTGCTATTTAAATGTATGTCTTTATTATTAAATATCTTTATTATTAAATGTATGTCTTATTTAAATGTATGTCTTTCCTCAGTTCTTGAAAAGAAAAATGTTTTTAAGACATCATAAGAGTGCATTTCGAA